GATATATTTAGACAGTTCTCGGAGTTCATTTACAAGAATCTTGCCACCCACAAGGTACTGTTGTGTGCAGGTGTATTTGTCTCGTGTTTTACTAACTGGTGCCGGGTATTCAGTGTGTCAGATCTGTCTGTAATGTTCATTCTCATGTAAATGCGATCTAACTAAAGTGACGCCGATATGTGCTTTACACATTACACCCTGAGTTGACTTCATATTGGGTAAACACGTTTCTTGATATATGCCTACAGTTTAGCACTTGTCAACTACACCAGGCCATGCCATCTTGATAGCAGAGACAGGACTGTAGTGTTATATGTAATGTGGCGATGTTTCTGAGTACACGTCTGTGGGGTACATGGCAAACCCGGAAGTTAAACCTCGCCTACTTGAGTTATGGGTATAGAATAACTGGGTCATGACAGCGCGTAAATCATTGTTCTGGTTGAAACACGACGTCTGAGTGGTAATACAATTAACATGGGAACGTATATACTACGATGAAATGTTTGTTTGTGCATGTCATGTTGTGAAACTATTTGTTTGGCCAAGCGAAGAGTTCAAACCAAAACCTGCTGTATTTAAAACTGAACAATTGGAATTTACAGAAATAAAATCTTCGTGCAAAACCTCTTAATGGATAACACTGCTTGTATAGTTCCATTCAGATTCACCTCGAGGGAACGCGAAATCACCGCACACGTAAAAACAAGTGACATGGCTAATATTAACAGAAGTTTGGATGGGATCCTGTGGTCAGGTTCGCTGATTTGGTTGAGGTATGTCATCGTATCCCACTTGCGTGGATCGATGCTCATGATATTAATCACAGGATTGTCCGCTCCAGACTCAATTATTTACAGATCGCCGTCATGTATCTGGAATATTGCTGAGTGTGGCGTTAAACAGCAAACCAACAGAAGTTTCGAGATCAGTGACGATCGGGTTTAATCGGTGTATGTTTGTTGTGCACAATTCATTATCACCTTGATACTAAATGACTCATATATCAGGTAAAAGATCATCTTTCGCTGATGCCTTGCTTGGACTATTGTAACGGTCCCACAGACAAGTTCAATTGATACTGTAGACATGTAATCGATGTAGCTCTCTGTATACCATCCTATGGTAAAGCTGTTTTTCGTGGGATTATCTGTGAATACTCATCGTCACAGCGGTTCCAGGTACAACTGTTCCCCAACAACCCATTTTTATTGTGACATGTGATTGAATGGATTGGGTGGTCAGACTCAGTGTCTGCGTCACCGTACCCCAACGTCGTTGCTCATGATATCAACCACTGTCTGATCCAGAATGAATAGATCTCCAGGATAGAACTCGGATATTTAACTGACTGTCGTTAAGAAAACAACAACAAAGAAACAATGTTTGAAATTGCCTGGCCGTCGGGTTTGAGAAAGTTGTGCTTTCAAATAAATATTTTTTACTTATTATTGATATGGCTGAAGACGCCAGCAGAATGCAAGATTTTAACAATGTAATGGATGAATGTTTGCTTACAGAAAAAGTAACTGTGCTTCATAAAGTTTATTAGAATACTTTTATTCTGAAATTAAATCACATCTTTCAACACATACATGAAGGTCGTGATTCAATTTGCACGTGCATGTTAAGTACGGCGCACAATATTGGGATGTTTCTGTGTTTATTGGGAGGATGATACTAACACAAGTGATTTTTTTGTAATTATGACAGCTTATTATGATTGTTTAGCTATCGGGTGGTCATAAAAACACTTTTGTTCAACCGTAAATAACACTTACACAATGCCACGGCTTGCTGAAAATCACCGTCTACACGCTCTGTGTGTATGTTGCAAACAGGAATGAAGTAAAACGAAGTTGTCAGACACTTAAGTGTCAATCAAAACACAATATCACCTCTTTGGAGATGTTATCTACAGCAGGGCAACACTCATGACTTGCCACGGGCCGGTTGTCCTCGTGTGACGCCACCTCAACAAGACACCATATTCGGTTGGTGCATCTAAGGAATCGACACCAAACTGCCCCATTAAGAACACGGACAATTCCTAGTTTGAGATGAAGTTGTGGCAGATCCATAAGTAATAGGTTAAGGGAGCACAACGTCAAGCGACACGCTTGATTTTGCGTCCACATCACCGTCAGGCACGTCTTGGTGTAGATTGCATCTGAGGTTCAGACTGAAAGTCTGAGACAGTATACACAATTATAGCAAATGTCAGCTTCTATGGGAGAAAATCGTGAAGTTACACATGTTTTAGACGTTTACCAAACCCACGATCACGGGAATGTTGTTGACAAACCTAGAAACACACTCAGGACCAACCTGGGATTCCTACGATCATACGACCTAAGGGACGCAACTCAGTGCACGGCGAAGTGAGGCACCTAAGACGACTGGGCCATCAATGTTCCACTAATGAATCAAGTTTAAAGTTCAGATATTATCATACCTAGACGACTTCATATGTATAAACATGGATATCATTTTCACCACTGGAAACCTATTTTGTGAATTATACATCAACTATCCTTTTAACTGAGTGCTGTTGTATTAGCCGAATGTCTTTGTGTCCATGGTATATTGCCCCAAAATATACAAAACAAATTCTCATCATCGTCTCTATATATTTTGTATACATTATTGTAAAATGAATCAGAGTGTGTCAAATGGGGTTTAATCCCGGAAATGTTCTGGAGTGTTCACTGCGTATGCATGATTTAACTATGCATTGTTTTCTCAAGCCCAGTTTTTTAACTACAAGTATATTTTTCTCAATCCCACGTGTCACACAGCTCAGCGAAATGAGAACAACATCTGTCTAGGTTTTTCTCTACATTGATTCTTTTGAGTTGGTGGTTCACGATCATGATCGATCAAGTGTCACAGTAGCACATGCGTCATTTATTGTATCTATTCTGAGAGACGCAAAGTAGTCGGAGAAGTAGTAGTAGTAGTAGCAGTACTAGGGGTAGCAGCTGTAGCAGCAGTCGTAGTAGTATCAGTAGCAGCAACAACATCAGTAGTAGAAGTAGCAGCAGCAGTAGTGTTAGCAGTTGTCGTTATGGTAGTAGTAGTAGCAGCAGCAGCAGTAGTAGTAGCAGCAGCAATAGGTAGTAGCAGTGAGTTTGGTTTTAACGCCGCTTTTACCCGTAGGTTTCTGAACAGTAGATTCGATGTTAAAGTGAAACTTGAGCTGCTGAAGTATTGCTTGACATAAAAGGGAAAGTTGGCAATTGGAAAGTTGAAGACATCCCTCTTGTCATGTATTACATACTACATATCATGTAATATTTGTTCAAGGAAGGACTATCAGAAGATTTGAGGCTAGAACTACATGTTGTGGTATCAGTTTGGACGTACTGTAGCGAGAGTCTACGTTATTTCGCGAGTTCAAACAGCGAAATTTGTACGTCATATGTTGTGAAATGTAGAGAGTTAAAAACTGGACAGTTGAAGCCATCCATTTAGTCTTTGTGGAAAATGTTTGCCACTTTGTCCGGATTAACGAGTTTTCACGGCATACAGTTACATCAAAATGTGTGTGAATGTTGTTTTGCGTCACCAATATTTAAAGTATATCCTGGCAGCCAGGAAACGCTCTCTCTAATAGTCCATGGAGGCGGTATAATTCTTAAGTGTAGATATTGCACAGAAGTACACTTTACCTGTCCAGATGGGGGATATTCTGTCACGGGTATGCACTTTCCCTCTACACCGCCAGTGAGTGACACCCAGGCTGTGAGAGGAGGCTGTGCAGTGATGCTGTGGTAAGACAGTATATATCATTATACACTGAATGCTGAATGGTTTATCTGAGTATTGATGTGTATAGAAACACGAAGATAATGTCACTGGTCATCTTATTTATCAAGTATTCCCAGTCGAGGATATTTATAACTCTCTGTCCAAGATCACAACCGTAGGTCGTGTATTGATTCATTCATATACAGATCATGAAGAGTCAACGTTAATCAATTATTAAGTGTATTTGTTGTCAAGAATGTGTGTGTATTAATATCTTGTACTGGTTTATGCCATAGTCACCACAATCTCACTCACTTAACAATAATTAAGACTTTGCAGTTGAAACCTTTACGATTTTCACTAAGATCATAGAAACGAAGATTAATTAACTTGTTGTGGTAGTTTTAATTTTCCTGGGTTTTTTTAAAGAGAAGCTTTATGCATTTGGCATAACAGACTTAGTATGTAGAGTATCATGCAGCCCCGTCTGAGGTTTTGGAGTTTGACCACCGCTTGCTGGGACATTTCGAGAGCGAAATAGTTGAGAGTGACCCTCGTATATAAGGCCAAGTTATATAAGGTAAATCGTAAGGGTTCTTTGTCACTAATTCCGATATGTATCTAACTAAAAGCAACGAAACACTTTCCAAAGCCACAATAAATTTCTGACAAAAGCAGCGTCCACTGTACGGTTCCGACTGTTGTTTATCACTATCAGATAGGGAGGATTCCAGATGTGCGCGGAAAGGTGATAATGTCCTACACCACTGGTAACATCACAAACACATGCAAAAACAAGTCAATTGTTCACCTGAAATAAACACAGAAACTTCTGGTAAAGTCAAAATAGGGAATTGCATCGGACAGTCTTGTCACTGATGCATAACGTTTTGAAATGTCATTCAAATGTGTACCGTAAATCTTTCTGAAAGCTCTACTGAGGCCTAGAATGTTGTAACCTTGATTAAACCACTTTTGAGCAAGAATCGTATGACGTGAATATACTTGGATATATATTCATGTCATGAAGGCTCATTTATAAGGGGGCGGTCAGGTAGCCTGGTGATTAAAGCGTTCGCTCGTCACACCGAAGACACGAGTTCGATTCCTGACATGGGTACAATGTGTTAAGCCAATGTATGGTGTCCCCCGCAGTGATATTGCTGGAATATTGCTAAAATCAGCGTAAAATCACACTCACTCATGAATAAGGTATATGTATTGTGTAAAATGTTCTTCAAATGTTTCAGATGGCGACCTCTCAGAAGCTAACGGAACATTTCCTGACCTGTACAATATGCACAGATGTGTTTGATAATCCCTGTACTCTTGTGTGTAATCACACCTTCTGTCGAAAATGTGTCGTCAACTACACCAAAACCAGACCAGAAGCCATCAGTGCCAAGTCCCTCCTCTGTTCATTCTGCAACAAGATGACGAAAGTGTCTGCCCCTGAGAGGCCAGTGGAGGAATGGGCGGATGACGTCAAGCCAATCTTTATCATCCAGGGACTCTTGGACTCGTTTGGTCCTGGATCTAAAGGTACAGTAGTAGTTGTGTCTCAACAGGCTGCAATCTAATTACCTGAGATTTGATATACAAAAAGTAAATTTAACTGAGATCTGTACCTATATGTATTTCTGCACAGGAAGGTGTATGTTTTAATGTGATACTTGTTATTATTGTTGCTTCATGTTTGTCCATGGTGGTTTTGTAGTATTTGCCGAAATTCTGACAGTATGAATTCATAGTAGATACATCCTCATCTTAAATTGTGGCAATGTCTGCAGTAATAATATCATCTAGTTCACATGAGCTGTGTTAATATTGGAGAAGAACTTGGACAGATGTAGATTCAACATATAACATAGGAAATACATTGTAGTGAAAATAGTATAATGGTTGAAATACACCACATATAGATGGCTCCTCTTCTCCCACACCACAGTGAAGATAAATATACATTTGCAGATACAGCCTCCTGCAGCTGCTGTAGAGAGGAAGAGGAGACAACTCCAGCTGTTGTTTGGTGCTCGGTCTGTGATGTGGCACTCTGTGACAAATGTACTGGAGCTCACAACCGCATCCCGTCATTAAGGAAACACAAAGTCATTGACCTCTCCGGCGAGGTCAAGGTCGGAAGAACACACAAGGTGACAAGTAAAGAGCACAAGGACGAAACTATTAAATATCTGTGTAAAGATTGTAAGAAAGCTGTTTGTCAGACATGCTGCACCATCTACCACAGGAAATGTGACTCGGTCGTCACACTCGAGTCGGAAATGATGGCTGTGAAGACAGAGCTGGTGAAGATGAAAGAGACTTTGTCAAGGAGAAGACACAAACGAAATACAGAGGTGCAGAAAAAGAAATCAGTGATGGCTGAAGAAATATGTCAACATTCACAGACGGAATCCGACATCAAGTCTGCAAGTCTGAAGGCAATACAAGGGATAAAACTCAAGGAACAGAAACTTCTAGATGAACTGAAAGAGATGTCAGACAAACACATCGGACAACTGAAGCCAGACATTAAGTTAGGTGAGATGTCAGTACAGGTGTATCAACAACAGGCGGAGCTGATAGACCAGGCTCTACAATCTGAGTGTGACATGGATGTGTATGAGATGTATCAGGGATGTGAGGCAGGTTATGTGGAGGCTGTCGGAGACGCAGATGTGAAGGCGAGAGGAAGAACATCCAAGGTCACATTCAGACAGGACACGGACAAGCTGAGTAAATCTCTGGACGATCTACAGCTGGGTGAGATAGAAGTCATGTATGAGGGTTTGATGGACCTGAAGGCTACTCCTGTGTTACAGGACACCATCAGCGTGCTGGACCTGAAGGCTACCCCTGTGTTACAGGACACCATTGATGTCAGAGTAGCAGGCGACAGTAACACACCATGCCCGCGTGACGTGACAGTGATGGTGGTGAATGACACAGATACAGTTGTAGTCACCGACTACAAGAGTGTGAAGTCCTTCTACACCAGGAATAACCAGACACGTCACAGTAAACTCAGTCTGGGTTGTAAACCATGGAGTCTGACAAAGTTGACACACAACCAGGTGGCCGTCACTGTCAGGAACATCAATCAGATCGTAACAGTAGAAGTCAACCCTGACCTGGTGCTGCTGTCAACCATCACAACCAGCAAACAGTACATGGGCATAACGTCCCTGACACCATCAACACTAGCAGCTAGTTCCCAGTCTCCTCCCTGTGTTGATATCCTGGATATGACTGGAAACGTTCTGAGGTCAATCAGTCCACTCCAAAATAGTAATAACATCTTACGATATCCAAACTTCCTCTGTACCACGAGGACAGGAAACATTCTTGTGTCTGACGCTGGAACCAAGTGTGTCCTGTGTCTGACCCCCGAGGGAGATGTGGTGTTCACCTACAGCCCGACAGGAGACACAGCACTGGAGTTTCCCCAGGGTATCACAAGTACCAGCACAGGTGACATCCTGGTGACAGACTACTCTCTACACAGTGTCATCCATCTGACGGAATCAGGACAGTTTGTCAAAATCATACTGACACAACAGGACGGTATGAACCAGCCCCAGGGTGTGTGTGTAGACGGACATGGCCACGTGTATGTTTGTCTCATTAGCGGAGTTATTAAGGTGTTCACATGTAACCACTGACAACGTGTGTTTGTGACATATATATGTGTATAGAACTCTCTCAGGTTCCTGTCGTCTTTAGGAAGGAATTCATAAAAACCCAAACTGTATGATACTGATTATCCGCAAGTTGCCTTATGGATAACGAGATGTAATTTAGGCTATCTCAGAGCTTTTTTTTGTGTCAACCTGTGTGGGGTGTGTCAGAACCTAGAAAATTTGAAACATTGCAAACCCAAAGTCACGGCATAACCAAACGATGTATTTTTTGTGTGAAAATAACTAAATGCCTGTAGTATTCTTTTCCCCGTTGACGGTCATACATGTGTTGATTTTACTTGTATGTGTTATAAAAAGATATGTTGAAAGACCTAAAATTGGATCTGTATCAATATATTTTTAAAGTTCTGCAAGTGCTGTTTTGGACTGTCCATGTTTCTCTCAAAATACATCAACATAGTGAAGTAATCAGGATTGCGGAGACGCGTGGTGGACGGTCATTCATTTTTTACTTTTACTTTTACGTGCTATTAATCAATGTCGATAGACCTGAAATTTGATCTGTGCATATATTTTTAAAGTTCTGCAGGTTCTGTTTTTGACAACTGGTAATTTTAGAAACGGCTTCTATTGACATCCACAATGATTCATACTTCCATACTTTAAGAAGTGAGTCAGTATGATTTTACGCCACTTTAAACAGTAGTTCAGTTATATTACGGCATGTTATCTTCATGTGGGAGGAGAGCCAGAAGTGAAAGAGACCTGAAACATTTATTAAGTTTGTGAAACCCACCAACCCATGATCGTATGATTTCAGCACGCTTTGCACAGACACCCCTGTCTTCGCCTCGCATCACCTTCTCCTCCTCACTGAAGAGATACCCCTGTCTTCGCCTCGCATCACCTTCTCCTCCTCACTGAAGAGGTACCCCTGTCTTCGCCTCGCATCACCATCTCCTCCTCACTGACTGACACCACTGTCTTCCCCTCGCATCACCTTCTCCTCCTCCATGACTGACACCCCTGTCTTCCCCTCCCATCACCTTCTCCTCCTCACTGACAGACACCCCTGTCTTCCCCTCGCATTACCTTCTCCTCCTCCATGACTGACACCCCTGTCTTCCTCTCGCATCACCATATCCTCCTCACTGACAGACATCCCTGTCTTCCTCTCGCATCACCTTCTCCTCCTACATGACTGACACCCCTGTCTTCCTCTCGCATCACCATCTCCTCCTCACTGACAGTCATCCCTGTCTTCCTCTCGCATCACCTTCTCCTCCTCCATGACAGACACCCCTGTCTTCCCCTCGCATCACCTTCTCCTCCTCACTGACGGACACCCCTGTCTTCCCCTCGCATCACCTTCTCCTCCTCCATGACTGACACCCCTGTCTTCCTCTCGCATCACCATCTCCTCCTCACTGACAGACATCCCTGTCTTCCCCACACCACCTTCTCCTCACTGACAGACAACCCTGTCTTCCCCTCCCATCACCTTCTCCTCCTCGCTGACTGACACCCCTGTCTTCCCCTCGCATCACCATCTCCTCCTCACTGACAGACACCACTGTTTTCCCCTCACATCACCTTCTCCTATCACTGAAGCGACACCACTGTCTTCCCCTCGCATCACCTTCTCCTATCACCATCTCCTCACCACTGTCAGACACATCTCTCCTCTATGCCTCCATCTCCCATCTGGGATTTGAACCCACGATAATAGGATCCAGGCACTCCTGACTTACACAGCTCTGCACATGGTCTTTAGTAACTCTTCAATCCTTGAAAATGTTGGACTTTTGACTACATAGGCTATTCTTCTCCTTAAAACACACCGTTACCGGAAATACTTTGACAAAACATTCTCAAACAAATTATTTGAAAAATTAACCAGAAATGTTTGTCGCCTGTATTTACAGTGTTTGAGTCGTGATGTGATGTACGTGGATTATGATTTCTGCTGCTGTTGCACGTGCGCCAAGCTTCGTCGAGAGCTGATCGTAACGATACGAGGTTCACGACTCTATCCAATTACGTGGGGACCTAAGCGTGAACTTTTGAAATTGCTTGCACGTTTTAAATTAGGCCAGTAGAAAAATCCCTAAAATTAATTCAACCCGGACATTTTAAGGAACAACCAAATTTCTATCACAAATCATAAATTAGGTATAGGAGATGTTATATAAAAAACCCAGACAAAATCAGACTTGAGGAAAATCTACAATGCCATGTCAAAGTTTGCTCCAAATCACTCCCCATTCAGTTTCCCAGTGTTTATAGTTGTAAGGAAAGTACTACCTGTTGCTACCATAAACAAGATGTCAGCCTCCATGTCGTCTGCTTTACAGTGGAATAATATTCATTTTCTACTTTGTTGCTGTCATGACTGAGAGTGAAAATCATCTAAATGGTGAGTAAAAGTTACATTCTTTGTACAACATTTGTTACAAATGAATTACTATGTTGATCATTTTACCATTTATGATTCAAATGCACTCTAATGTTAGGCTAGTCAATGGTCAATTAGGCAACTTTTATATTTGATGTATGCTAGATATTTCATCAAATATTAGTATCATGTTCCCATTGATTTCTATGTAAACAAACATTGTTTAGGAATAATGAAATATATGCGTTTCATAGACAACTCAGTCCTTAATCAAGGTTAAATTTATACCCTATATATCAGGTGTTGGTTGCAGTGATACTATTTTCCAACATACTAATTTTCAATCTTGGAACGTCAACTGAACCCAATTTTTAATTATTGGTTTTTAACTATTTACTGTAGAAAATCTACATGAAACCCCCTGAATGTAATCTTCAATTCCATACCTTGCAAATTAGCTGTTAGTTGAAGTAATACTATTTTCCATCAGACTTCTTTTCTCTGAGAACATCTTACCAAACCTGATTTGTTTTTGTAATGTAATGTGTATGAGAAAAGATATGCAGCAAATAACCTGAATATAATCTTTACATGGATCTGTTGAATTTTCAAGAATATGTTTGAATCAATTACTCATTTTAACAAAGAAAACATAAGTGTAATTAATAAGTTATTTTTCTGTTCATTCTAAAGGATACAGAGTGAGATTCTTATTAGATCACTAATTTCATTGTTCATCTAATATGATTATGCCACAAATAGCCACAACCTATATCAAAAAGAAACTTATTGTTCTTTTGCTTAAAATGTTTTGAAGAATTAGATGATTAGAACAAAATAGAAAGAGACATATATTTGTTTACCTTTATTCATGGGAGTCAATTAATTGTCCAAAGCATAATAACTCAAGAAATAAAGTTACTTTTTGAGACAATGAATTCAATTATTCAATAATGTTAATTTCTTATAAATCATACTAAAACTAAAATATATTGAAATATATGTTTGATTTGAATTCTTACTATTTTCAGGTGAGAATGATAGTCACTGCATCATTTGTGATCAAGCAGGATGGGATGCTAACTTATCCACAAAGGGCTTCCTATCAATTATTTCTTCGTCTAAGAAAAGACAAGATGGAAAACATGAACAACTGCTGCCTCTTATATCTAATAAACAAGCATTTGTTGTGCATGAACAATGCAGGAAGTCATATACTTCATCAAAAAACATACATTATTTCTTGAAGAAAAGAAATTATGAACTTGATACTTTACCGCCAAGAAATCTTCGCACATTACAAATCAATTTTGATTTCAAGACTCACTGTCTTATTTGTGCAGAATGTATTAACTTTCCTAATGTTGAAAAGAATCCAAAAAGACAAAGCATAGGTTCAGTTGAAATTGTTGACAAATTGGATAAATGTAGCACTTTGCAGAATACATTATTGGAACTATGCTCCAAGCGTTCAGATAAGCAGGCTCTGGATGTCAAGTCAAGAATCATATGTGCTGGAGACATAAGAGCAGCAGAGGCAATCTACCATCGCCAATGTTTGCAAACTTTTTTACGCTGTAAACAAGACTGTGATACGAATGAAAGAAATCTAAATTCGACAAATTCTGAAGGTTTCAGTAACTTGTGCACCTGGTTGTCATCACAAACTGGGAGTCAGTTTACTATATCAGATCTACAGGTAAAACTGTCTTCATTTCTTCCAGAGGATGTTGAACCTTACAGTGTTAAACATTTGAAACGCAAACTGCAAGATCATTTTGGCAATAAACTGAGTATAACTGAACTAGGAGGAAAGAAAAATGTATTCCAATTTAGACATACAGCTTCAGAGATTTTACACCAAGCTTTTCTTACTGATGACCAGGAGGATGGTGATGAATTGATTGCCAAGTCACGCCAATTGGGAAAAAAGCTCAGGAATCTTTTATCTGACATCAAATTTGACACTGAACACTTTCCCTCGCCAGATGAATTAAACATCAACGCTTTAGAGAGTCAAGTTCCTGAAGCTCTACTGGTTTTCATGAAGAGACTTTTAGGATTATCTTCAACATCTTCAGATAGAAATACACTGCAAATGATATCTCTATGTCATATCTTGATGAATGCTGTTGCCCCAAATCCATACCAGTCTCCATTGCTGTTCTCTACTGGTTTATTCATCCACCAGACTACAAGGTCAAAACTTGTACTCAATCTCCTTTCATCCTTAGGAATGACAATGTCATATGACACTATTTTGGATTTTGAAAGATCTGCCGTTACAAGTAGAAACATTGATGACCTTCACCCAGGCATTGGTGTCAATGAAGATGGCACAGAAGGATTTTGTCAGTGGATAGCTGATAATTTTGATTACAATGAGGACACAATAAGTGGCCACAATAGCACACATGTCATGGGAATTATCGCATGTCAGACACCTGCATCAACACAGAAACTGTCAGTGAGAAGACAAAAAAACTATGCTACAGACATTCTTGCTGCTGGTGATTTCAGCAACATACAACCCTACAGAAATCATCATACAAACGCCATGGCAAAGGTAAAATTTAATCCGGTGGTCGAAGTTATAGTTCCAAAACTGAAGCAATTCCTCTTCCAAGACATAGTGTGGATGCTCTCCAATTTCAGATCACAAATCACCCCAGGATGGCAAGGGTTCATGTCTGATGTGACACATGGGGAGTATATGCAGTCTAAAGTACTTTATCATCCAATGATACCACTCAATCCGCAGACAAATGAAGCAGTCTATTCAACAATGATGTTTGTAGACAAGCAACGTCAGAAGATTGGACAGTGTTGTGCACTCCTCACGTTTGATCAACCACTCTACGCCAAAGCTTACAAAATCAAAACAGAAAATCCTCTGGATTTCGAACACATACAGCTTCGCCTTGGAGGATTTCATCAGCTGATGTCCTTTCTTGGATCTGGATGTAAGTCAATGCAATATACTGGATTAGAAGAACTATGGTCATGTGTGTATGCAAAGAACTCAATTCCAAAAATGTTTGAAGGAAAATCTTACCACAAAACTGTAAGGGCATGTCTTTTGACTTGCGCAGCACTACATATTCTTCTCTTTGAACAGCCTCATGAAGACATCATGGATGAAGATGGTGACAATCGTGAACACGAAAATGATTCTGTAGGTAGTGGTTCTTTGTCAGATATTGAACAGATTGCTAAAGATATTTCACGTCGGGAAATTCAATTTGATGACTTTGAAGAGACAGTGGATAACATTCTGGGCAAAGTTGACAAAGAAAAGGCAAAACACCTACAGTCAAGGACATCAAAATTATGGCTTCAATTCATGGATTTTGTCTCAACAATGTGTATGTTCATTAGAGCTGAAAGAACAGGTGATTGGCTCCTGCATTTGAAAGCTTCACAAGACATGCTTCCCTGGTTTGCTGCAACAGGACATAACAATTATGCCAAGTATTGTCGTCTGTATATTCAAGATTTTGTACATCCATGCCCCTGTCTTCACAAACCACTAGAGGATGGCCTCTTTACGATTCATCGGAGTCAAAAGTTATTCTGGAGTGGCACTTGGTCTGATATGGTGATAGAACAATCTCTCATGAGGTCAGGGAAGACATCAGGCGGTCTCATAAACATAACTCACCAAGACAGTGCAAGGACAAGATGGCTTCTATCAGCACACATTGTTGCACAGTACACAGAGGAGTTGAGAATGTTGACAAATACATCATCAAATTCACGGAGTGATCATCATCGAGAACTAAATCCAGGAAGAATGAATCAAGATTACATTGATATGAACAAATTCTTAGATTTCCTACGAAGTCACAATCCATTTACTGGAGTCCAGTCTGAACTTCGCAACATAGCTACTTGTGTTATTGCTGATGACAGGGTTAATGCTGACAGAACAGTCAGTATAGGAAGTTCAATACAATCTCTAATTACAAACCATTCTTTTGGAGATGTTTCAATGAAGAAAAGTCAACAAGTGGTGACATTTGACATCATGAAACGTGCAGTAACACTAACAAGTGGAGAAAGACTTCGCATGTCATCACTTGAGTTGTATCAACGACTTCTCGCTATTGCCTACACAATAGGACCACCATCTCCATCTGTGTTCTGCCATGAACTTTCGTCTGTTCCATGATGATGGTAGCATGAGAAAATCAACGAAATCACAACTCGCCAAATGCATAATGAAGATGACTTCAAATGTTGAAACTGATGTTCCATCAGTATCAACAGTCTTTGATGGATGTGCGTTACTTCAACAGTTGAAATGGCCAAAGGTTGGGACAATGTTGGACGTCTGTGAAATATTCCTCTCTACAATTCATCACAGGTCATCCTTGAATCATGAGGTAACTGTTGTGTTCGACAGTTATGATGTAACAACAACAAAAGATCAAGAACAGAAGCGCAGAAAGCTCTCAAGAACTGCAATGGCTGATGTTATGCTGAAGTCAAATACTCCAGTTCCAAGTGATGCAGCAAGTTTTCTTGCCAACAAGAAAAACAAACAACAAACAATTAATCTCCTTTCATCATACATACAAGAGAACTCACGTGTGTTAGTAAGCCATGCAGGGGATGAAGGGGACGCTGATGTTGTTATTGTTCAAAGAGCTGTGGAGTTGGCAGAGAAACATGAAACCGTCCATGTCATTTCTGATGATACTGACATTTTTGTCCTTCTGATACATCATGTGGATTCCCAGAGCAATGTTTACATGAAGACAAGATCAAGAACTATGTCAATAAAAGAAGCAAAACATTGCCTAGGAGAACAATTGTGTCACAATCTTCCTTTCCTTCATGCAGTATCAGGTTGTGATACAACATCTTCCTTCTTCGGCTTTGGAAAATCTAAACATCTGGCTTATTTCACTTCCGCAGAGCAATTACATGAGAAAGTCACAGTTTTTGGAGAATCATCTGTTCCTCTCCAAGTAATCAAAGAAGTGGGAGAACAGTATGTCTGTGGACTCTATGGTGGGAAACAAAACGAGAAACTGGATGAGTTGAGATTCAAAAATGTAAAATCAACCAAGTTCACAAGTGTAGAGCGCATGCCTCCAACAAGCCGGGCATGTTATTTTCATTGTCTAAGGGTTCATCTGCAAGTGTCAACATGGAAATCTCTTAAAACTGTTTTGGACAAAGAGACACATGGCTTCAAATCAGTTGAAGGGAGTATAGTCCCAATTATAACAGACATGCCTCCAGCCCCTCCAGAACTCTTGAAGGAAATAAAGTGTTCTTGTAAATCATCTAACAGACTCTGCACATCCTGTAGTTGTGTCAAAAGGGGGATTCAATGCAGCATCCACTGCAAATGTGAAAGCAACTGTGAGAATAGACAGGACTTAAATGCAGAATATGAAAACATTTGGGATAACACTTTCTTTATTAAAGTATAGATTCTCATACTTTTTTTAGTTGGGTCCCGTCCGGGATTCCAACCCACACTGCCAGTGTTATCCCAAATATATTTGGTACAAGGATTTATATGTTTTTCTGATCCTTAGTTTCTTCTCGTCAAAGGTTTATCTAGCTTTTTTAAACGCGAACACTGTTACAGGTAACAGGCTGTAACACGACATTATGCATATCACGTTCTGAGCTTTTATGGATTTGGGATATTGGAAATTATAAAAAAGCTAATTTCACTGTGATGTGTCACCGTATCCGAGGTCAACCATTACACGTCATCAAATCATACAAATCGGATTCTAGCCACGCTGGAGACACATGCTCCGATAACATTAGTAATCATTCACTTGATTGTCAAACTACAACTACGAACTATAGATCAGTCTGTTCCGAGTGACAATCAACCGAAATGTTGGTTCAAGATAAAGTGTAATTGATAGCCAACTACATTCTTAAAACATTATGGAGCTCTTAAACAATGGAGGACGTCACATATATCTTTAAAAACGAACCCGTGGATCGATTACACTGAACCAGGTTCTATCTGGATTAACAGGATATTACGGTTTACAATTACTGCCTGAATGTTGTTTTACGGCTCAGTCCGCAATATTTCACCTGCATCTTGGCAGCCTGCGCCAGAGAAATCAGTGATTGACAGCATGAGCAACGATGCATGCTGTTTGGACACGGTGCCACAAAATCGGCAATGTCAAACCAAGCTCATCTTACGAGAATCCCAACAGCAAAACATAATTATAAAAACACTGCGACTTGTTGTTTGTGGACACAAAGTATGACGAGATTTGTATGTAAACACACATTCTGTTGTGTAAACTAGTCACGTGTCATTGGAATAGAGATGTGGGTTTTTCATTAGAGGAGAGTCTGACTCGTCACCGTCCTACTCAAGGAGATCGCTCAGGTGTGTCATTGTGTCCACGCTAAACACGAGATATTCGGACAGTTCTCGGGCTTCGTTTACCAGAATCTAATTACCAGCGAGGTTATGTTGCGTGTGTATTTGTCTCGTGTTTCTCTGGCCGGTGCTCTGGTATTCAGTGTGTCAGGGAGGAATGAGATGCATGTAATGCATTTTCGATAGGTACATGATCTAACTTAGGTGACGCCGATATGTGCTGTACACGTTGCACCAACGGTTGACTTCACAATGGGTAAACACGTTTCTTGATATATGCCTGCAGCACATGTACTCTCCAAACAAAGTAGGGGATATTCGGGAATAACAGATGATTACAGAAAAACAAGAGGTATCGAGTATTGTCTCACAAGAATATACGGATGAAGTGTGTTTGATGAAACACAAGAGGGCGAATATCCTCGCTGTTCACACCCACCAAGTGGCTACGGCTCCAGAGATCTGAAGTTCTCAGTTTCAGTCTTGAACACGACCACCAAGAACACGATGTTTCACAAAACAAGTTCCTACGATTCATGTATTCGTGTATCCTCACATGTTCTCAAGTAATGCTAATTTGGCTCTGTTATTGAAAATTTGCTAGTTTATTATGAAAGTGTTGTGCATGGTGGTACGTAAATTTCGTATCTAGCCAACTTGATCTATCTATCTATCTATCTATCTATCTATCTATCTATCTATCTATCTATCTATCTATCTATCTATCTATATTTAGAGGAATATTAAAAAAGGTTACTACACATGCTTAATATATGCTATTACTGGATATTCATGTATATATACATCCAGGGCAGTTCGAAACAGTAACACTTCATAGTACAGCTTGAGTTAGCAATTTTAGAATGCACGTCAAGTGAAAGTATTGGGCGATAAATACGTTAATGTTTTAGTCGGTCACGTGATTGCGAGACGTCATATAAGACAGTCGTGGCATCAAAACACAGGAAACAACACCGGGACCGGGCCGATTCACTTTCGGAAATCTGCTTCTATCTTGACTATTAGTTTGATCCACGAGGTCAAAAATGGATTTGGGTGGTCTACCCCATACAGATACTAACATAGAAGTACAACCTTTTCAATTTGAACCTATATCTGGCAGCAAGAACGACACGAATACTGACGCCGATTCCAGCACTTCACATGAAAACAGTGACGATCCTGATCCTGACGATGTTTTGAATAGGCCTCATACAGATTGGCATGCTAGTCACTTGCGTACCAATTTTCCGGAAAACAGATTAGATAATTAATGTTTCAGCTGTCACGGTAACAAATGCAGTCATAATGTTAGGCCAATATGCTAAGCCACTTCTGTATTGGCCAGTAAATGATCAAATTGCAAGTTGGAAGTAAATGATTCTAAGATATTTAAGACCTGCATAACTGCATGTGTTATATCACTTCTTATGACGAAATGTACCCAAGAGAAGGTTCGAAATACAGAGATGAACTTTTCTGTGAAATAACATTATGTCAGTCAATACACATGCCATAAATACGTTAGTGTACGATATCCATGTTTTCGGAGGAGAAGCATGGTTATAGTGCATCGAAGTTCAGTTTTATTACATTTTCAATGTCCATAGATGTCTAAAGGATCGGTAAGCTGTTGTGATACTTATTGTTGAATATAAATTTACAATATAGGGATACATAAAATGTAAAATAATTATGAACTTAAAGTGTGAATTTCAAAAATAAAATAATACTGTTATTTTAAGGTAACTGTACCACGACGAAATTATAGGTTTGCATATTATTAGCTAGATCCTAATTTTGTTGATAGGTGTGACTGTGGCTACGGCATGGCCATGTCACCCGAACTGAATCCAAATGCTGTCATTTTCTGCTGGGGCGAGAGAGAAATTGGAGCTGAATCCTTGGTTTTCATAACTCAACATGAAGGATTCTCAGTCAATGTCACCAACATACAGTCCTACAGCTGGCGTTCCTGGAATTAGTCAGCTTGGCAGGCCCACAAGACGATAACAAACCAATTCATAAGTAGGTTACTTCTTTACGGCTGCCTAAAACTATAACCATAGTAAATACAGCTGCATAGATTAATATTGACATTTCCTTATCATTGTGCTGCATCAGATATTCTTCTAAACTGTCAGCGAGTGAAGAAAGTGTGATCAGTTCCAATTAAAGACCTACGATCAAATAAAGGAATAACTAGCACAAAACTGAAGGTGTTATTTGCATACCATCTTTTTACATACACAAGTGCTCAATTAATACAATGTGAACACAAACTTCACAAAGACATGCTGGCCATAATAACAAAGATCGAGGAGCAACGAATTATTACATCTGAACATAATTTTTTCCGGTATGGTAACAATATCATACAATTTCAAATCACCGATAAAGAACACTAGTCATGTGGCATACAACCGATTTACCAGATGGATCCATGGAAGGCTAATAAACATTATCGTCGTCCTATACCATCATGTGTCGTAACTGCAATTAGGGAATACTTTCCATCTGAAGAAGTGGCAGAATTCAAGTACTATAGACCACCTAAATACATCAATCACTTATGATTCTAGGTCATGCATTGGACACTTATGATTTCAGATCATACATCAGACCAATGGTTCTTCTGACAGATAATGTCTGACTGCGTCTTAGGAAATATAATTTTGCCTTAGGAACTGCCACTATAGTTAAGAAGAAATGTCAAAATTATATATAAATACATGCACAAGATTATGTGTCGACATATTTAAACGAGGATAGTAGTATAGGTAATGATGGTTCTGGACCACTTCCACTGGAGCCAGATTCATATACCTATACTGCTACTACAGGGGGGATTTTTTATGTCAAAATGATGATGCGATTTAACGATAGTCATGAGTTGTATTAAACGAAACATCAATATTAATTAATAATGGATAAAATTTACTATAGCCCACGAGGATATTGGAAAGGTGTAGGAGCAATAAAAAAATTAGCCACCACGGCTAAGGTATCTAAAGATGTGGCAAAGGATTGGTTAAAGAAACAAGCGATGTGGCAGATATATTTACCGGCACCGCGTTATATACCGAGGAAGAAGTTTGATATTTTTACAACGAATGAAGTTCATCAGGCTGACCTCTTGTTTCTTCCCCACGATAAGGTAAAACGCAAAACGTACAAATACGCTTTAACCGTAGTGGATGTGGCTAGTCGATACAAAGAGGCTGAGCCATTAACATCGAAAGAATCAACAGAGGTAGCTAATGCACTGAGTCGCATATATAAACGCGGACCACTAAAATGGCCTAAGCTATTTCAAGTAGATCCCGGTCGCGAGTTTATGGGATCGGTAACTAAACTGTTAACAAAGAACGATGTCAAAATCGTCCGTGGTGAAAGAGAGGCCCACCGCAGTCAAGCTATCGTCGAAAGATTTAACAGGACATTAGCGGAACGTTTGTTTGGCTATCAGTATGGGATCGAAATGAAATCGGAGCGATTGAGATCAACCGAATGGGTGACACGATTATCAGCCGTTGTATCAGCGCTGAATAATGAAGTAACAAGATTAATAGGGAAGAAACCATCCCATGCTATTAAAATG